CCACTAGGCCACACCCTTGGGTGCCCAAGCTAATACTTCTATGTGCACACAAATAAGGGGTAGATTGGTGCAATTGTACCCAGCTGTTTGCATATGTTAGAAAGAGAGAGAGAGAGAGTATACGCTGCACAAGGAGGCAAATGTGGATCACTGCACCAGCCTGGTTTCTCTTCTGTATCCCTGTTTACCCCGAATACAAGTTAACTTTCAGAGTGATATCCAAATTCAGGGGAAAAGGGGTTAATTAACACAATGAACATACTTGTGAACTTCTCTGTCACCCCTCCTCTTAGTCATCTGCCATGTGAGTCCATTGTTGGGTTCAAGACCAGGCTGAGAGATGTCAAGACCATGTTTCTTAACCAGTTGAATGTATCTGCCATATTCAGGTGATAAAATTTACATGGAAGGAGATTATAGAGACACCACCAAATATTTTTTCCTGATTTAAAAAGAATGAGAAATCATGTGACAAAAACCATGGAAAGACACCTACTTCTCTGCATTGAAGTGCTCAACTCCAAGATCCTCATCCCATATAAATATGTAATCATAGGCAGCTACAACATCTGGATTCAAAAACCTCTTTGCATACCACCTGTTATAAGAAACCAATAACAAACTGTGAATTGAAAAGGATTAGATTTAACCTATATACATTTTAAGTGTTAAGTATTTTTACACTATCAGTGTTTTTTAACTTGTTGTAACATGTAATCTGTCTTATTTTTTAGGCTACAAATCCTTTTATGGAAGGTTACACATAGTAATTTTTTGTGACCTGATAGTGAAAATTCTTTAACACTGTCACTGTATAAAAGTTAAACTCAAAAAGGATTAGTTATTGTATGCAAACAGCAACATTTTCTTCATTCTTTGTCCTATACATGGAGCCAAACACGCTAGTAAAAAGGGACTTCCTGAATTGGTAAGAGCTCACACTCACACATTATTGTTGAAATGTTGGATCAATACAGAAGGTAATAACTAAACTCAAAGTCTTACCATTTTGTCTGCTTCCTAACACTGATGTGAACTGCACGCTTGGACCATTCAAATTGATCCCACTCACTCGTTCGACCATCATAATGGAAAAGCAAAATTTGAAAATCCTCTGAAAACTAATTCACGTATAAAATATAAGACTCAGTATATGGACTACAACGTCAACTGTCAAGAGAAACGATGAAAAAAAGCTAATGCCCTATAAAATCAATAATATCATATTCAGTAGAATTGCTTCATTTCTATAACCTTTTTGACTGCTGCATCAATGTTGTTCTTTTGATCCAAACCAACTGTAAATGTAACCAAGTACTTGGGCTTCTTTGTCAGATCCTGAAAACACCACAATTTTGTAACATGGCTATGCCAAAACAAAGCACCAACCAAAAAGAATACAAACTTATAAGTTGTACGCAGTGCACAAAATCCCTTTCTCAGCCTACATTATTGTCCAATCTGTTAATGATTGGCCAGAAACTGACAGAAGTTCCACTAATCTATACCAAATGTTCGACACCAAGACATTTAAGATCAGAACAGGCCATCGTACATAAACAATTAAAAAGTTGAATGCAGTTCCAAAATGCAAGTATAATCCTCATGTTAGGTATCCAATTGCTCTTTTTTTAAAGAGCACAAATAAGAAACTAAAACTGACCCTGAAGCACCATTAACAACATTAAAGTATCTAGTACGAAGTTCGTGCCACAATGATATGATTACTAGAACAGCTCATGAAGGGCAAGACAGTTGCAGAGAGTCTTTCACTCTTTCTTTTAACAAGAGACAGTTAAAGGTTATATAATCTATACAATTACCACATTCTTATCTTTTTTTGTTAAATCAGGATTAAACAATATCATTAGACATATTTGCTTCATACCTCACTTGGTTCACCCCACAACCTTCGTAAATAAAAATCTGATTCTGAGACCACAATCCCTGGTGGCAATGACTCTGCACCCCGAGGATTAGTTGGGACATATATCTGCAAAAGGAAAGCAACCCATCAATATTTCAGAACAAATGTCTAGGTGCTCTGGATTCTAAATCTACCACGGCAATCAGAATAACTATCCTACACCACTTCCCAATGAAAAAGTGAACCAAGAGAATATGTATTTCCAACTTTTAGCATTTAATACTTATCAAATAACAGGAATGGAATGACAAAAGCAAACGAAGATGCAGGAAATTAAATGCAACAGGGACAAGGGCCTTTAGTTTCACAGTGACTGTTTCTCCAACTTAGTGCTACCAATACAGTTAAAAGAATAAATAGAATGATCAGGGGATTTAAGGCATTTGGTTTACCTTTTATTGGTGTCAGTGGCTAAAACAACTGTACATGCCACAACACAACTCAGAAGCTAAAAATNAAACGACGTAAAGTCAAAAACCTCTATGAACCAAGTATACAACAACCACAAGTATTACTACGCCTCAATCCTAAACAAGGTGGGGTCTGCAATATGAATCATCACCGACCATGTTACTCCATTTAAATCATTCTCATGCCAATATTATGCAGATACAAATAAAAAGTATGAGAAGTTCTGTATATTTTCTAGGAACCAAGTAAATATTGCTACTTAAAGTTACAATTTTTATTATAACCTTAAAAATGGGGCTAAAAGATCTTACTTGAATTCCTGATCCGAGCCATAACGATTTTTTATTTCTTTTTTAAAGAAAGCTCTTCACTCTCCTATAAAAATTAGAGTAAACTAGCAATAATGCTGCTCACATTCAATGCAAGAATTCATTTTGAAATAGAAAATCCTCTAAATATGAATAAGGTTTTTAATTAAGCCCAAAAAACCCTAAAATTTCACTAAATTCCATTACTACGATCTGCCATTTGAAAAGTATTTTAAAAAATTTCGAATTAACTGTTAAAACATAAAAGATTGAATCGTAAATTGAAGAGTAAATGAGAAAGCATATAAAACTAGGGTTTGAGAGAGTCTTACAGGTTGCGCCGATGGTAAAGAGAGATCTTCCTGAGAGATCGGTTACGAAGGTTTTCGATTTATTGGGAGGGGAGGTGTATTTGTTGAATATTTTGAATTTGTGAAACTGATAAAATGTCTTGCTTTTTTTTTTTTTTTTTTTTTTTTTTTTTTTTCTTGCTATATATATATTGCCCTTTTATAGTAACAACAACTTATACATGTTTGTTGCGCCAAAAAAAAAAAAAATTATGAAGAAGATGTTTCAATGGAAGTAACAAGTTGGAGTCTTGACTATGAATTTATTTTTGCTACGAAATACTTTATTCGTAACATAAGATTTTTATATGTGAATTCGGATTCAATCAAACTCCAATACTAGTACAAATAATCGGACGGAAACTAAGACATTCAAATTTACTTATTTTATAGAATAAGATAAGAAGAATAAAAAGATCTAACAAGAAGATGGATTTAAAAAATATGCGATAGAAGGAAGAGACCAAAATAATTATGGTAGACGATCTTTATTAATTATGCAAATAGCGTTTTATTGATTTGTTATCTATCTTTATTGTGAATGCAGAAATGATGCTTATTCAATCTTAACTTAAATATTTTATTTTGACTCTGCATGAATATCAAGAGAAATGGTAACAAAAAAAATATGACCATACATGATATAATAAGGAAGATATAGTGAATTAGTTTTTATTTTTTCCAGAGTAGTTAGTAATAAATAAATAAATAAAAAAATTCTTCTTCTAATAATTACGTTATTTTCATACGAATTAAAAAAAAGTGAATATTCAATATCAATTATCAAGTCCAAAATTTTCAAAACGAACTATTCATTATCTGTTACTCCTATTTGTTTTTCATATACCTCAACTTTTTCATGAAAGGAAATCGTCAAAGATGAAAAATATAAATTCAAATTCTGCACCAGGAAATCAAATTAATATGAGACGTTGGGAATTAAACTCAGTTATATAATATGTTCTTTAGTGAATTACCTGAAAAGGGAGAAAAGTGAAAGAAACTTCTATTATCTTGCAATAATAATTTGTATTTATACCTACTTTGCAGCCTTTGGTTACCAAACCATGCTTATAAAAAACTTCTACTTTGTTTTTAGTTGTTAGGACTTAGGAGTACTAGTTTGTTATCCGTTCAACGTGTCTTGGTTTAGTGTAAAGCTGAAAAAGTTTCAAAGGCCAACAACTATTATAAAATATATTATTATAACAAACTTAACTCAAAAACAATAAATTAATCACATGAGATGGATGGTTTAAACTTATGTCCCAATCTTTTGCCTTTCAAAACCATTTTACGGACAAGGATGAGTTAATATGTGATAATCACATTATTTATGAACAATTCACGACAATATTATTAGATGAAATGATGAACGAGAAAGACATTTACAACATGCGTCTTTCGTGTTTTTACCTTCCTCAACCTATGCTTTAACTCCTGTCTTTGCTTTTTAAAGGTAAAATAACAATGGAAACTGCAAAGGAAGGCACGAGAAGAAGTACGTCCTTTTGGGTGAACTTTCTCTAACAAGAATGACAAGAGTGAGTTGCTCTAGTGGTGAGCATCCTCCACTTCCAACCAAGAGGTTGTGAGTTCGAGTCACCCCAAAAGTAAGGTAGGAAGCTCTTGGAGGGAGGGAGCCGATGGTCTGTCGGAAACAACCTCTCTACCCCAGGGTAGGGATAAGGTCTGCGTACACACTACCCTACCCAAACCCCACTACTGAATTATACTCGGTTGTTATTGTTGTTGTTGTTGTTATTGTTTCTCTCGTCATTGAAATATTTAACCCAATTAATGAGATGTATGTGATGATTAGTCCTAGTGGTGGCAAAATAGTTTTTTTTTTTTTTAAAAAGCACGTATCCACCCATATTATTCATTCGAAAATGGCTTGGATAATTAATTTTTTAAAAACAGGTCAAATATGGATAAGAACCATATTATCTACTTAGAAAATGGATAACCAATAGATAACTAATGAGTTTAACTTTTACATTTGTAAAACCTCAAAGTGGGGGTTACTCAAGATTGGGAGACTAGGAATTCTCCCAAAAATGATCATATTCAAGAAGTCATGGATAATATGATTATCCATATTATCTGTCGGTTAACCCGTTTTTTATCTGTATTAAATATGTACCGGATCGGATAATTTATCCGTTATCGCATTACCCATTTTGACATCTGACCCGACCCACCGTTTGTCACCCTTAATTAGTCCTCTTTTAACTTTCAAGAGGTAAATGTTGGTAAACCATCTAAATTTCTTGAAAGCAAAAGTAGAGTTTCTTGATTATTACTAAAAATACTTGTGTCTTGAATCTTGCATGTTATGAGTTCTGCCTCACTTTGCATAATATTGTAGTTTTTCAGATCAGGTAACATCTGGTCCTAATATTGCGTCTGAGATAATTTTTGGAGTTGTTGAAAATTTGGAGAATGGTTGGTACTATTGCTAGGGTAGAGACCACTAAGTCTGAAAGAATTGATGGTAGAAATGAAAAGAAAAAAGAAAAAGAGAATAAGGGTGCTCATAGTGATGTGAGGAGAAAGGGAAAAGCAAGAGCGGTTGAATCTTCACCTACTCCTGTTGGGTTGACTGAGGAAACATGGTCTATGGTGTTATGGAGTGGGGAACCTGTTGAGGAGAAAGAAGAAGGGGGTAGTAGGTCTGGTGATGCAAGTGCAGCTGAGGAGCTGGTTAGGTTGAGGAAGAGGTTCCAAGAACCTATTCTATCTGTGTAGGAACCTCGAAGACTTACTGAAACGAGTGTCTGACAGCTACAATCCGAAAAAGAAGAAAAGTTGAGGAGCTAAAATCCCTGAAACTGCTAGGGCAAACAAGAAGAGAAATGTTGCCTCTTCTATCCCTGTGGAAACTCCTCCTACAAGAGGGAAAGCTACAAGGAGTCAGAAGAAGCAGAGTGAGGTTGAACTTGAAAGAGCCTTAGAAGAGAGTAAAAGAAAAGTTGTTGTAAATGGAAAGAAGAAAGTGAGTGAGCATGTTAAGGCAATTGAAATTGGGGAGATCGATCTGGTTCTTCATGATGAAGACGAGGCAGAGGAGGTAGAGGTTGTGACTCCAAAGGCAACGGAAAAAAAAGACTTCTTTTCTCCTTGTGTGACATCCTCTTCAATCTCCCATCCCCCTGGATAACCGAACCAAGGTACTTGAACCTGCCTCTACTCGGGATGACCTGTGATTCAAGCCTCACATCCACGCCCACTTCCCCTGGCTCAGAGCTGAATTTACACTCCAGGTATTCCGTCTTCGTCCTGCTCAACTTAAAACCCTTAGACTCAAGAGCCTATCTCTAAACCTCTAGCCTCTCGTTAATACCGGTTCGCGACTCATCAATCAGAACTATGTCATCGGCAAATAGCATGCACCATGGCACCTCCCCTTGAATATGGTGTGTTAACGCGTTGATCAAGAGCGAGAATAAGAACGGACTGAGCACAGAACCTTGGTGTAACCCCATTACAACCGGAAACTGCTCAGAGTCGCCTCATACTGTCCTAACCCGAGTCTTAGCCCCATCATACATGTCCTTAATTGCCATAATGTAGGGAACCGATACACCTTTTGCCTCCAGACATCTCTAGAGAATTTCTCTAGGAATCTTGTCATACGCTTTCTCTAGGTCAATAAAGACCATGTACAGATCCTTCTTCCTCTCTCTGTACAGTTCCACCAACTTTCTAACAAGGTGTATAGCTTCAGTAGTCGAACGACCCGACATGAACCCGAACTGGTTGTCGGATACAGACACTGTCATCCTTACCCTCACTTCAACCACCCTCTCCCACACTTTCATGGTATGACTCATTACTTTGATACCCCTATAATTGTTACAACTCTGGATATCACCTTTGTTCTTATACAATGGGACCACCGTACTCCACCTCCACTCATCCGGCATCCTCTTTGCCTTAAAAATAACATTGAACAACCTAGTCAACCACTCCAAACCTGCTCTCCCCACACACTTCCAAAATTCCACCGGAATCT